GGTATTAGAGCAATAAACTAAGAACACTTAAAGTAGGCTTTGCAATAAGAGCCTTAGGAACACCAGATACTGTGAGCTAACAGCTTGAAGGACTTCTTCAGTTTTCAGTGAAGAATCTCTCTGACATCTCTTGAGAATCTACATTCTAGTATACATTTCATCCTTCAACTTGCTAGGAAGGACCTATGCTGAGTTATGATAACTAGGGGAGTGTAAGGAAATTTGGAATGCATCTCAAGACAACACATTAAAATTTTATGTTCAGAAAACAGGTTTTACCACCCCACAGTTCAGGTCCTTTTTTCACCTGCTACCAAGATACTTAAGATTTGTCTATAATTTCAGCCCCTTGAGTGCTGCAGTTTGTAACAAAATTGAGTGGGAAGGCAGGTGCAAATCCTTAAGTACTCCTGTGGAGAACTGACAGCAGAGAACAAGTGTCATACATGCACCCTGGGAGTAGTTGGGCAGTACACACTGAGGCTATACTTGGGCTGCCCTCTTCCTGTCACTGCTGAACACAGTATATTCCCTTGAATAGTTTATATAGTGGAAGAGTAAGAACAGGTTTTTGTATTTGCTAAATTTAAATACATTTTGATGCAATTCAGACGTTAATCTGAGGAAAGACTGATACTTCTCCATCTAGTTGACTCAAATTAATCTCTGTTTAACTGCTGGAATGCACTGGAGATAAATTTTAGCTACTGACTTAACTGTAAGAACTTAAATGTGGCAACTCCTTTGCCTCCTTTTATGATCAAAAAAAGTGCAGGAAGCAAGCACACTGAAATAGTATGTCTTTCTTCCATTAATCACCAGCTATATTAAATTATTTCCAGTTATCTGCACAAGAACACCAATGCTTTGTCACCATCTCCAGAGACACTACTGTAGTTCTATAGATAAAAGAGCCAGCTGTCCTGCTTAAAAAAAAAAAGAGGCAAGCATGCTTTAAGTTCTACATAAAACTAATACCAAAATCTTCCTTCTCACCTCAAACCTGTCCCCCCAAAGTGTTCCTGCGTTAAAACAAAAACTTCAGTTTTAATCCTGCCTTCAGTTAGGCAGCTCAAGTACTCACAGGATTTGAAGTTAAAAAACGTAGCCTCCTATCTTTCTTCCTTCACAGAATTAAAGTTTGGGAACAGTTAACACGAAATTCCACATTCCAACATAGCCTGGAAAAAGATATGATACAACACAAACTAAAAGAAATAAAACTAACAAACAACTCAACATCCAGAGGGACTCCACAGTTCCCTGCAGATTTGGCTTTGTTTTGTTTTTGTTCTCGTTTTTAAAAAAGACAGATTTGAAATAGGATTTCACCTCCAAATTCTGCATCCCTGTGTCATGACATTGGTTTCAGCACCAGGTAAAAGACCAAATCCTAGTGTGGGCTTTTAACTCACTGTAGCCATCTGTTTCAAGAGGATTATATGGATTTTTTAAAGTGCTAGACACATTAAAAATAGCAGGGAGTCATTTCAAATGTTTTTTCAGCTACCTTGTGTTAAAAATATCACCTAAGCTTGAAAAGCAAAGCTACATGACCCTGTAAATTTGACAAGCCTACTGATGTCCTCTGACATTTAAAAAAAAAAACAAAACAAAATTGTAAAATTAGAAGTAGCAGCCATTTATTAACATCTCCACATTTGTTTTTCATGACTAAAGGAAGCATGTATTGTCACTATCTAAGTCTCAGCTATCCTCAGGCTTTCATTTAATAGCATAATTATAATTTCCAAGATGGTACAACTGAAAACAGTGTGCTTTTTTTTTTTTTTGACTACTTAATGTTGAAGTTTTCCAAAGAACATTTGTTACCAAATCTGGAAGTCTCATTTTGTTCCATGAATTTACTACACACTGTCAAAGAACAAGCTGTATATTCATATCATGCAGGTGAATAAATGTCTTTTTTCAAGATGTTTTGTTGTTGGGCAACATATTTAAAATATTTTACTGCTTAGAAAAAAATACAGTAACTTTGGTTCTTTTGCTTCAGATACCTGAAACAGATCTGTTTTCTGTCTGAGTTGGGACTTGCTCGGCATACGTGAGAAAAAATTGCTTCCATCCTATCTCCATAGTGAAGAACAAGCAGCAATTCAGTGACTGATCTGTCTGTATTCTGATCTATGGATTTTTTTGATGTCGTTGTTGTTTTTGACCAAGGAAGCCGTACACCTCTTTGTAGGTGAAAAATGAGACCGAAGAAAAGAAGCATTATCTTTCCTATTTGATCAAATAGGTTGTTCAGTTGTTGGAGATGTATGATGGGCTTCTCATCCTAGTAATATCACACCTCCCTAACCACAAGCAGGAAGGACCAGTTATACTTCATTACATGACCCCTAGGCTTGAAAAGTCGTGACAAACAGCCAAACCTTCTATTTCATAGGAATGACAACTTCAGTTGCCCCTATTCAATGTCATCTTTCTGTTAATACAGATCTGCTTTGCAATTAGGCTGGGGGGGGCAGGGAAGACAAGTACTTAGCAGATGTGCCTGTGCATGTAAAATCTACTCCAGCCCCCCTCTTACTCCCCCTCCCCTTGCATCACTTTACACAGCCTTGGCCTCTGCTCTTGTTTCCCATTAACAAATGTCAGTCACTGTGCATACACTTTAATACACTGCATAAACTGTGCATCTCTGATTTTGTAACACTACCTACAAGTACATGACAGCACTGGATAATAGCAAGAGAAGTCTGAAAACCTCACTTTGTAGTATTTTCTCATTGTAAATGCTGAAGAATTTGATGCCAGCTGTATATTTTTCTTTTATACTAAAATAGCCCCCAAATACAGGAATTTCCTGTTCAATTTGGTAATTCTATCATTATATTTATTTTTTTAAAATAACCAGTTAAAGAAATTATATCAATGTAAGTTATAACAGCCTAAAGGTTTGCCTTGTTTTCTATCAATTCATTCAATCAAGGCTTTATAACAAAATGCCCTCTCCATTCACATCCTCCAATAATGTTTTTCTCATTATATTATACTTCCATTTCTATTTCCACCATTATCTGATAGCTGAAGAACTCCACTGCTTTTGCAACCAATATTAATATTTCAGAATAATCCAATTTCCAAAGATATTGCCAATGATATAACAGATTAAAGCAACAGCCTTTCACATCTGAAGTTCCCAATTATGTTTGAATTTCAAGTGAGGTAGGTGGTCTCAGCTTACTTGCAATGCTTTTTCCCCTCACGATTATTCCACAGCTCAGTATCTCACTTCCTTCCACTCCCTAAATCTTCCACTCCCAAAAGAAAAAGCCTTCAATCTAAGCTCAAGAGTAAAAAAGGAGAAACTCTTGTAACCATCAGGGAAAACAGAGCTAGCAAACCTTTATTTCCAGGAACAGTAAGTTTCACTTGTCCCACTTAACTGATACATTCGAAAAATCCCAGATAATTCACTGTCACAGCTTCACAACACAAACTGGAGATGAAAGAACCTTCCACTCAATTCACTTTCAGAACAATCCTGGTATGACAGACACAATTTAAGGAAATGGAAGTTGCAGACTTCAAATCAGGCAACATTTACTAGGACCTCTTAACTGTGCAATGAGTGCATATGTACATGCAACCCGTGCTGGGGTAGTGCTCTTGGGAATTGGGCTGAATGATGGGCAAGCACTTACTGATCACTGCTGTGTGCCAGGGCAGGCACCACAACATAAGGCAATATCTGAAGGTGCTGACCCCTCAGTTTGCAGGATGTATGTTGGCTTCCACCCCTCCACCTTAGCTCTACAGCTGACATGACAGACACCGATTGTCCAAAAAAAAAAAAAAAATTATTGCAGCAGCTGGCACCTGGGATACAAAAGATGAAGAAAAGCCACATCTCTGTACAGGGACTTTGAGCTGCCAACACCATAAGGGGAAATAAGGGTCAGATGAGGGTGTTGCACATAGAAAGCATGATAGCATCAAGCTACTATTCAATATCAGGCTACTTCCAGATATGTTAAGCAGCACTTACAGCAAAGGAAAAGATAATTCCTTCATTACTTCAGAGATAGTTCAGAGCAAACAAAAAAGACACACACATGGCATAACCCAGAGTTTATAGGGTAAGCACAGCAGGCAACTAAAGAGGAAAACAGACATGCTGAATGACAAAATGAGACAGCAAAAGCAGCTTCTTCATCAGAAAAAAAAAATAATATTTTTTTAAATAATTTTTGCTGGGTTTAGTAACCAGAAAATAGACTAAGTGTCAGTAGAAGGGAAAACACAAAAAGCTTGTTTTCAAGCTCTGCATGCACGAACTTGAATAAAGAGATTAAGAGTTACAAAAAGCTCTGTTAATTCCCTATTTGGGAATAACTCCTCATGCAGAACATCTTTCTCCAGTAGTCTGGCCTAGGGTGGATCAAGGAAAAGAAACATTCTGATACCAGAGTTGCTACTGCTTTTAGAATTGCAATGTTGTGTTGTAGCTGCTTTAGCAACTGCAGTCTCTAGTTTATGTAAAAGATTTTATTACAGACAAACAGGCCCCTTCCTGTTCTGCATATTACCATCCTCAGTTTCCATCAGTCTTGGCAAATTTGAAGCTAAAACTAATTAGACTGAACGATGTTCTGAGCAAGTAGATAACTATACTACATATCAAGAGTGTGGCTACTTACAACCAAAAAGTCAGCTTAAATAAGAAACCTGGTGTTTTGGAAAACAATCAGTAGTGACTTACTTATTAACAGCAGATACTGAAGAAAGATAAAACCTTAGATTTAATATCTTAAAAAAAAAAAAAAAAATCAAAAGACCAGCGTACTCACAGAGTACTCTTCTGCAACCCTTTGCATCATGTTAGACTCCTTACAAATAATTAAAAAGAGGAAGTAAAAAGGACAAACACTACATGCATCCCACAGAGGTAATAGCGTTTTCCATTTACAAATTTTAATTGGGAAGCCGTTTAAAAGTATTATTTCTGGAAATACGAAGATTGAGGTGCTTACCTATTTCATCCATTATATTCAGTACTGTACATTCATTTGCACTTCAGAGGTCTACTGTGAATCCATAGCATGATCCATATCACCCCATACGCATTACTTCAGTCTCCCATCCTACACTTAAAAAATTCAGGCCAGCAATTATGCAGACCCAAAGTAAAAAGGAGGAGGTGCCACAGAAGGAAAAGCTGCAGCTTCAAGAAGAGTCAAAAACGTATGCCATCAAAATATCCTTTGGAGGTCAACTCTGACCCACTCTCACCATTTCTGGCCCAACAGCTGATCAAAATGGAGTTTGTCACATCCACAGCATTGTGAGATTTTATGCAAGGGTAGGGAGTGGGGAGAAGCCTGCCGAGCACTTCCCCGTGCTCTGCGTCAATAGATTTGGGCTTAGCCTCTGTTAAGCAGCTCAAGCCACTGGTTATTGGTGCTGGCAGCTGTCTACTACACTGCCCCACTTCCTATCTCAAAACACACAGCTTGGGAGGGAGGCCTTGGTCAGTCAGTTCCAACCTGCCTCCAAATAAAACGGAGGAGTAGGACAGTGGAGCCTCCGTGTTTGCCTTGGACAGTCCTTCAGTTGTTTAAAATATGCCACCCCCCCTGCCCTTGTCAAATAGCTTAGTGCAAAGATCAGTTACAGCAATAGTAAAAAAACCCAACATGCATTTCGAGATTAAAAAACTAAATTGAGATGGGACCTTGGTATAAGTGAAGGATTTTTGCACATGTACACACACAGACTGTTTTCTTAGGTATTGCCAACATTTTAGTATTGTGTATACTATTTATCATTTTAGCATTTCTTGGACATCAGGTAATTCTTGATGTGTTTCTATTGGCTTGATAACAAATTAGCCTTTTCAATAAGCACATTACAGTCATTAATGTCAATGTTTTGCCCAATATTATGGTAAATCAGTTACTACCAGCTTAACAGCAACTGCTGTATTACTCCCCGCATCCTCAAAAAAAACCCACGCTAACAGTGCATTCAATCCAGATTTTAAGAAATACCTGTGCTAGTGTCACATTTTCTACATGTTTTACTTTGCACTGTAAGATATAAAACACATCTATGTAATATGACCAAACATAATTCTCCTCTGAAGTTCCCTCGCTATAAATTTTTTTGCAAAATAATTAAAATTGGATTTGTCACACCAAAAAGATTATGCCATTGCTAGACCTCCCATTTCAATACCAACAGCTTATAAACACTCTGGTTCTACAATAACCATTTGTTAAACCATAACAGCTACTATACTAATGTGTCGCACAAGGGCATCTCCCACCCACTCCACACGAGCTTAAAAAGGGCCCCAGAAGTCAGAGCTCTGTCCTGTCACCACTGTCAAACCTGGGCTGCAACATGAAAAGCAGCCTTGTGGTATGGCCAGGGAGCCTGGGAGAGTGGGATCGAGCATCTGGTCCTGCCAGAGCCTTCCCAGATACCCGCAGCAACGATAACCCCAGGAGTGCTAACACCACTGGGCCTCTCAACTTAGATCTGTATCTTTAGATGAAAACGTTTCTATTCTCCGTTCCTAAGCATCTCGCTTATTCAAATTATTGGTTCTGATGCAAACATTCTCCTTCAGCCCTACAGCTGGGCCCTAATTTTTGCTGGGAACCTGGCTATCCTGTGGTAGAAACAAAAAATAAGTCTCTAGACCTCTTCATGTGAAACTGTGTGCCCAAAGCAACTAGGTTTTATGGAATATTAGGGAGGTAGATTGCTAAACACTGGGTAGTTTGAGTTGCAAACTTAAAACAGAGAATAAGCACTGTCTTTGATTATAAATGCTAGAGATTACTTATGATCAATTTTATCATCCTTGTTCAGATGATGAGCAGGTAATTTGCTCTGCAAGTGCTCCCCTTGAGGTACAGCACAAAGTATGGAAAACACAAACACAAAACCGAGCTCATTCAGAACATGTCCAAAACCACCCACTGATACTGACTGTAAAACGGAATTAAAAACCTAAGGGGAGAACAGGTTAAGCTAGCCCCCCCTGCAACAATCATTATTGAAAAGAAAGAAAAAAATCCTAAAAAAGGCAGCGTTTGTGTATTCTGATACATTCACAATGCAGTTCAGATCACATGGCCCAAGGAGGTAAGAGCTATTCTATCACTGACATACAGGGTAAATTAACTTGCTAATTCACTTTCTAATGCATAGTCCACTGAGCACAGAAATACATAAAAAAAAGGAAAATGAAAACTCATACAGTCAAGCATATTAAATTGCATGGGTTGTGACATTATACAGAGATTTCTTTAAAATAGTGATAAATATATAAACCTTTTTTTTAAAAAAAACAAACCACATCATTCATCCTTAAATCAGTCACATGCACAGCACTGAACATATGCCATCCTTCTTTAGCACTGCCAGACAAAAGCTACATCGCCAAAAATAGCCACACAGCAGGCTAGAGCTGCTATAGAATGCCCTAGATACATTCAGGCCATGAAGACTGAGCATCTCTGCCGTAAGGAAGGGTTAGGCACTAACCTTCATAATAGGCCAGGGCTGAAAACAGGGAAGACCACCGATTTCCATCCTTGAAGTTATTTTTTAATAAACATTATTTAATTGAGTTTAAAAGGGAGGGTCATCTGAAAGCTATTTCCATGAAGAGCTGGAATACATATGCATATACACAAAACATAATGGGAAAGGGTGCATTAAAATACTTGGTACAGGTATTCTATGAAAAGGTCAGGTAAAAAAGAAGGTGTGCTTTTTAAAAAAAAAAAAAAAATACTCTACAGAGTTAAATTTACAAGAGTACAGTCCCAAACTTTGATAGATGTTTCCCCTATTTGATTTCTCTATTGTTTTTTTATATGTGGTTTCTTCCTACTCTTTTCTTTCTGCAGAGATTGTGAGAAGATAACAGTTGATGTTTTTTCTAGATCAGGTAAAATGCTATAAGCTGGAAGAGCTAAATAAGCAAAGATCAGTGTGCTAAATGTTTAGAGGGATCAAATATTGATCACAGCTCAGCATGACAGACCAACCCCTTCAAATCTCTCATCAAATTTCAGGCCAATTTGCAATTTATCTTTCTCCGCCATCCCAACACTTCATTCAGCATGTCAGAAGGCAGCATCTCGAACTAAAGATGAGTGTTACAGCACTGCAATAACAAGCACAAAACACACTTATCTATGATAAAGTAGGTAGCAGTAGGTAATGCAAGGTGTTAAATGAACAAGCTAGTGCCATCTGAGAGTCATCTTTGCAATCTTCAGTCATCTTTCAACAGACTTTTGATGCACTGGGACAGTAAGTGTATGTTTCTTAGTAAAATACTGAGTGTGACCAGAACTAATGCACTTTAATCTCTGCAGCAGAGAGGACAGTGGTCTGTCTTTCTAATGCTATCCTTTAAGTTACCTCTGAGGAGGAAAGCTCAGTGTGAGTGAAGATATCACTGCCAATATCAACTGACCAGAAGCAAATGGATTTCCCCAGATTAGCAGAGGATTGCCCTACACTGGCAGGCAAGGCTTCACCTTTAGTCAGTCAGATGAGCAGCAGAAAAACAAAAGCAATCTCCACTCATGCCCTGCACCCCTAACTGGCTTGACTGCACATGGGCCTTCTTCTTACATTGCCTGTGAACCACCTGGCAACCAAGAAAAAAAAAACAAACAAACAAAAAAACAACCCACCAAACAAAACCCAAACCACCACACATACTACCAGCTTATTCCTATCGCTCAAGACACCCTTCTTTTTTGCCCTGAAATCAATGTGATGAGGAGCAGAAGGGATGGAGACTTCTCTTTAGCTAAGACAGTCTTGGAGTTCCCCATGTTAAAGTTCAGTCATCAACACTTAAAGTGTAAACATTAGCCTCCATCATCACAGTCCTTGTAAAATGAGTAACAGAATAGCAGTACAGTAGTTAGTGAGGAAGCTACTGATACAGCTTGGTGCTTAGCTTCCCAGACCTATTTCTATGAAGGTTCGGCACAGAAAGCATTGAACAGAAAATAAAAAGAAATGGAAAAGATTCAAGTGGCAGGCAAGACTTGGTGCTCCTGTCAGTCTGCGTTTCTATTGTATGCCTAGGGGATCACATATGTAAAAGCAGCAAGATGTTTCTGCTCTACCCTGTCTTCAGAAAGAGGGAGAGGGCTTGGGGAAAAATGCAAGTGCCAGAAAATCAAAGAACACCTGAAAATTCAAGGATATATTCTGCTACCTATCCTAAGGAAGAAAACTTAGGCAAGCTGGCATTTAATAATATTAAATTGCCTGAAAAGTGTATAATTCAGTCAGCGTTGTTTAACAGAAGTAGAAAAACAGTTTTAGGGGAGGTCTAATCATCAGTTATATTCCCTGGACTACTACTGCTTCATTGTGGCTTTCAATATATTGACCACTATCAGGGACTATGACCCTAAATTTAAATATTAAAAGGGAAATACACTGCTACAACAATTTTTCTAAGTCTTAACAAAGACTTCCACTCCATCTCCTTTTAAAGAAGTATAAGAGAATCTACAAACAACATCTTAAAAACATCGTAAACGTAGGAAACTGTTTGTCCAGATGACTTCTTCATTCATATGTCAGTCTACTAGTGCTGAAGACACTGATATATAAATATATATAGCACAACTATACATAGCTTAGTATTTAGGAACTTTGTCCCCTCTAATGCTCACAAATGTGAGCACTGTATAATCCCATGGAAATAACTGCAAATAGAAGTGTCACTCTTTGCTTTGTATATATAAATATCTCAATAAATTAGCCCATCAGTTATTTATTACACACATATAAATTTATTCTTTTTTTTTACCCATTCTTTACATGTCAAAACATAAATGGATATTTTTTATTGCTTCATTTTTGGTAACCAGTAGGCAATTACATTTATGGGACTGAAAACTCTCCTGACAAGACACATGCTTCCACTGTAGATTCAATGTCCTCATGAAATTCTTTTAATATATTAACAGAAAAAGCTCTTGAAAAGTCTGAACAAGTAGTCACTTCTTCCTCCCCCACCCCACCCCCCAGCAGTAATAACACAACCTAATGTTTTTTTCTGTAGAATTCAATATTCATTGTGGCATGAAAATAAGCAGAAGTCAGGGCTCCTTGACTGTACTGTTGCCTTCGCTCCCAGCCCACTGTGAGCTCCGTCCTTCTTTTATCCTATTCCCTAAAAAAAAGTTTATTGTTTGTTTCTTATTAAAAAAAAAAAAAAAAACAAAAAACACAGCTTTGTGAATCTTAATAGTTTTTGTTTTATTTTTCTGATGCTTTGGTAAGTCTCCTTTGCCTGCATCACATAGGCATGCAAGTGCAGGCATAGGGCAATGTCCCCACA